TGTTGAAAGAAATTTAAAGTGCTTTTAGTAACATAATAGTATAGAATTGCTCTAAATAAATTTCCATTTTCCAATTCACTTAATTTCTTATTTTTAAAGTACAGATAAGTATAAAATCATTTGTTGAAAAACTAAAATAACATAAGAAATAAAGAATAATTTTCACTAATTTTTTTCTACACTAATTTATCCCTTCTTTAATTTGTCACTTTTCAGTTTCTTAGTATCTAGTCAATATTTCTTTATGAAAATACAATAAAATATGAGTATATTTTCATCTTTTTTGCACTCTGAGTGTTAAGCAACTTGCCTAAAAACGCTAAAATAAGTAACTTTCATAACAGAATTCAAGCTTAGGCCATCTGATTTCAAAGTTCAGATGATTCCTTATAGCAATATCACTGCTTCTAATAACTGGGCAGGTTTTTTAAGTGATCTAAGTGTTGTTTTTTTTACGACATTGTTTTAATTATGGAGATCTTTTTACTCATGCAGATATATCAGTGGCATCTAGTATCATGGTTATTAGCACGTAGGCTACTTATTAGTCTTCAAAGTTATACTTTATCTTTTTCCAGAATCCGCTTTTGGAAGATCAGCCCTCAAATATTCCACCATCAGTGTCAAAAGATGAAAAAATTCATACAACACAACTCTCTCTGCACATTTGTTCCTACCAGGTTTGCTGACCAACCCCAGGCTCCCCTAGTTCATTACTGTTATGTCACCAAAGCTTACCGTTCCTTTGCTGATGATAAAGAACGTATCCCCTCTTGCACCTTGCCTGATAATATATTCCCCGTTTTCATAGTGGGTCTGAAAAGTAGAAAGAGTAAGAAAAAAACATTAAGAAAGGAGTGACATGCCAAACAGCTCAACGTCTTCAACAGTCCCAGGGATGCATTCATCCTGATAGAATTTTATTCAAGTCTAAAATCCACCATAATTTAAGAATGAACAATAGTCAATAAATGCAATAATTACAAAGACATCACATCTATAATTTTCATTTTCAAAACTATTCTGTTAATGCCATTTGGGGTGATTGCATTCATATCTCTAAATACATTCATTTTAATTATTTGATGAAAATATTTTCTCCCGTCAACTGAGCATGTAATAAAATAGATCTGCTAATTAAACTGCTCTTTCTATATTATTTATTTGTCATTCTCGTTGGGTTTTAATATTCTCATAATGACAGACTTTTTCTTTTCTAAGAAGATTACCGTGGTATCTAAAGATCTTCATTTAAAACCAGGTTGACATTTAGTGTGAGTTAAATGGCCCTATTACTTTTTAGGGCACCATTTCATGCTTTCGTGTCCTTGCTGCAGCAATTTAGATTTGGCCCCGTCAAACAGAATGTCTTAACTTTATGGACTGAATTCTGGTCCAGCATTTAACAAAGTGATTTTGATATTTTATAGCTCATAAACTACAAAACAAGGAGTAAGGTAAGGGTGTGAGAGGAGTATCACAGTCAGTGTATCAGTATTCCAATTTGGACACCATCACTAGGTCCATTCTCAGGGTGAAGATTACTTCTGCAATGAAGAAAAGTAATTTCTATAAGGAGAGATTGGAGAGAGTATATTGCTGGGTCAGGAGGTATAACAGAAAAATGAGAACTGTGCCATCTGGCCCTATACTTCTCAGCATATCAGGGGAACCATATTTTGGGAAATAAAACATTATTTTGCACACTCCTTAGGAAACAGATTTCATGGTTTACATGCAATATCCATTAGGATGATGGCTGTGATTTATCCATGTACTTCAATACCATTTTTTCTTAACACTTTATTCTACTCACTCTTAAAATTGCCATTAATTAATACTTGACATTGAGAAGAGGCAAAATTTTCTTAGTATATCTAGAAAATTAATGTACTACCTAATTACTATTTTGTTTTACTCAGAAGTAATTCATTTTCCTAGTAACAAGCTTTTTTTTTTTTTTTTAAATAAAGAAGGTCTTCCTTTTTCTCGTCCCCAAATCTCAACCACTGTATTGTATATTGTAGATACAGTCTGGTATATACCCTTCAGAACATTTTCCTATGTTATTAAACACATGCAGATACAAACATACATATACTTACAAATAATTATTAACAAATTCAAATTGAATTATAAATGCATATTCTTCCATAAATTTCTTTCTTTAACAAGATATCTATGTTTGATTTTCATGTCGTGCTGCATTAGAATGGGAAGATTCTTATGACATAAAGTTTTAAAGACCAAAATCTTTAAATTGGGTCAAGTAAATATATATATACATATATATTTTTTTTTCCCCAAAATTTGATGGCCATATGTTCTCATTTATCAGTGAACCTTGAACAATTATCATAACACTATGGGAAGGGGATTGGTGGTAGTGAGAAACTGCCAGGACGTGGATGGGATTGGTAGTTAAGGGAAATTGCTAGGGGAGGGAGGAGCAAGCCTCATCAACTGGAGTACCTGCATAATCAACATTTGTGTACTTAGCCCTCAATTGTGCCCCACATCTTTAAAATAAAACAAAAAGAAAAAAGAAAAGATGGATTTTAAAAGATAGTATTAAAAGTTCAGGAAAACCAATTAGACTTAGTTCTATAACACACTTTCATTATGGCAACTAATTGCCAGGAGGAAAAAAAGAGGCTCTACCACACACACGTTCCTGATCAGAACCCTAAGTGCCCATACCATAAGAAATAAGATAGACAAGTGAGACCTCATCAAACTGAGGAGCTTCTGCAAAGCAAAAGAAACAGAGCAGGGAGACAGTTCACAGAATGGGAAAAAATATTTGCCAACTGTATATCTCACAAAGGCCTAACACCTAGGATCTACAAGGAACTCAAATGTGCTGAAAGGAAAAAAAAACAAACAGCCCCATTACAAAGTGGGCAAAAGACATAGACACTTCTCAAAAGAAGATATACAGGCAGCCAAGAGACACATGAAAAAGTGCTCAGCCTCACTAATATTTTAAAATTTAAATAAGAATGAAATTAAGTTGACTGATATTTGTAAAGTCTTGTTTACATTGGGCACACATCATCTTTTTTCTGACTGTAGAAATGATTTCAATACTTTATACTTATCTATGATATTGTCTTTTGATCTATTCTATGTATTTGAAAAATTCATGTTAAGCAAGTATCCACCTATTTTTATTTTATAAAGACTTTCTAAATCAGGAAAGGAAGTCAAATTTTATTAAATGCATGGGCAACATGAAAAAAATCAAAATAGTGTACTTCTATGTATTCACCCAACAAACATTTTTGAGGGCCTCTAAGTGAGGCCTTCTTAGAGGCAAGATAATGCAATGATGAGTAAGACAAAACCTCATAATAGCACCATCTAGTAGATCTTCCTTTAATGGTGGAGACACTCTATAGCTACAGTGTCCAATATAATAGTCACGAGCTACGTGGGGCTACTGAGCACTTGAAATATGATCAGTGTGACTGAGAAATTAAATTTTAAAATTTATTTAATTTTAATAAATTTAAATAGTTTCACATGACTAGTAGTTGGATAGCAAAGGTAGTAGATAAAGCTGGCAGAGTTATAGTTCATAGCAGTGGGGGGGAAAGGGGGAACATCTTTTCTACTCTTGATGGTTCCTTCTATGGAATGAAGCTCAGTCAGTAAACCTGAGTCCCTTTCTCTTTGACCACAGAAGATGGCATGATTTATCTGATAAATGTAAAACTAATCAGCTATGTACATTCATCTCATATTAGTCGATCAGTTATGTATTTTCATCCCTTCCTCAGAGGAGGAAGCTTCAAACAGAGGACTGGCATTCTCTGCTGCTTCTCCAGGGAAAGTCTCTTTTCTCCACAATAATGAAAGCTTCCCCAGTCTGAGATTGTGGGATGGGACAGGTAATTCTGCCCAATGACAAGGACCAGTTTGAGAAGTCTATTTGGCTCACACACCTAAGCTACATTCTCTGACCCAGATTTTTAGTAATAATGGTAATCTTTTAGTTCCATTTATCTTGCTCTTTGTTTTGTTTCTCCCCTGATCTCTAACTCAAGACCACTCAAAAACTCCAAAATAATCCAATGTGAAAAATGTTTTATTATATATAAGTACAGAGTTACACATGTGAAAGAGCAGGTTACATGGGGGAACTCTAACTCTTTCCAAGGGCTTCTCCAAGGAGACTTCTTGGGCTCCAACTGACAGATAAAGAGGAGGTCACTGATGCTCAGAAGGAGAAAGCCACATCAGAAAGAGAATAAGTAGCTTATTATGATCACACAGTATTAGTGGGTATACAGTTATTTGGGAAGAAACTGAAACATGCAAATAAAACCACCACAAATTGAAGAATTTGAAACTCATCTAAGTTTATTCTCCTAATCCATCTCCTTTTAAAAAGCATATCCCTCTCCATAAATACTTATTCCCCTTAAGAAAGTAATTTGTAATATATTGAAAGAGGTGAAGGTAAGTGTTTTCTTAACCTCAGCACTGTTAACATTTTGAGGCAGATAGTTCTTGTGAGGAGCCGCTCTGTATATTCAGTTCTGCTACAGGAAGTTTAGCAGTATCACTGGGCTCTTCCCACTAGATGATAGCACCATCGCAATCCCAGTTGTAGAAATAAAAAATGTCTCCAGACCTTGCCAATTACCCTGTTGGAAACAAAACTGCCCCGCAACTGAGAGCAATTGCTCTAAATCTTTCATGTTTTTTAATCTCTTCATACTAAAAGAGTTGGGAGTTTGGCAGGAACATCCAGACATAGTCTAGTTATTTAATTCATGAAAAGTATCTAATCACCTCTTAATTTCATCTGATATGGCTTTTTATAACTTAACACCCACATTTGCCACATAAATTATTTGTTTACCTACACAGACATTCACTAAACATATTTCCATGCTGCAATAAGCTCATAAAACCCAGGATTCCAGAGAAGGGCCTATATACGGTGGCCAAAGGCACTGCAAGTTTAGAAAAGATAATGTTCACTGTGTCATAACACCAGGGCAGTAATGACTATGCTATCCTGAAATGTTTAATTGCTCCTGAGGGGAAGATGATCATGCATGCTGATTCTTCGAGAGGCTCTCTAATTATGTTAATCAAATGCCAGCAGTTTCACTGTTTTTTGAAAGTCACTTGGCAGCTCTGCCGTTTTCATATTTCAAATTAAAACATAGAAACATATAGAATTTAGAACAGGAGGAAAACTTAGCAATTAGACAGTTTCCTTTAAAAGTTTTCCATAGTTGTTAGCACAAAAGTCAATCTCCAAACATGGCTTACAAGACCATGTATAGTCCACTCAATGCCTGAGTTTCCAGTCTCTTCTTACTCTTTCCCACTTAGCCCTTCAGCCCTATTTGCCTTCTGAGGTTGGCTCCTCAACTGTGATGCCCCAAGGTCTAAGAACTTTCACTGTCATACTCCCACTACTTCTCACCTAGTTACATCCTATTTCTTTTTTCAGATCTTAGCCTTAGCCCAGACCTGGCATATCCACCCCTCACCACCATACACATACACACACCCTGGCTAACTTAGAACTCTCCATTCTATGAACTTACAACACCAAATAGCTTTATTTCGTTGCCCCTTTCTGAGTTTATACTTACTTATTTACTTGTATGATTACTTTTTACCAGATTTTAAGTCCTGTGAAGGCAAAGACTTGTGTTTAGTTTGTCCACACTTTATCTCTAGTATCTAATATTATGCTTGGAACACAGTAGAGACTAAAAAATATTAACTTCATACATGAAGTATTCTTCCTTAATCCCCATGGTTAGCATTGCCCCTAGTCAGTCCATCAG